AGGGGGGTTGGAACTGGATGGTCTTTGAGGTCCCTTCCAACACAAACCAGTCTGTGATTTTAGAGGTCCACCTTGGGCTGATGACATTCTAACAAACAATGCACTAACTCTGGTTTGAAGGGCATGAGTGCCCATGTTTACCCAGCAGTCCAGCTCAGAGCCAGAGTTCCTTCCTTTCCTTTTCAGCCAATAGCTTGGACAAAATAACTGCTGTGTCCTTCTGAGTAGAGAGATACAATAACATGCCCTTTTCTACTGGCTGCTGCAGCTCTTGCAGTCCATCCCAGCCGGTGTTGGTCAAGTGTATGGTTGTGAAAACCCATGGACTGGAGGCATCATTCTTGTTGCTTTACTTATCTCCTCCCCACTTATTTGTTTACATGCTGCAATTGGATCAACACTGGGGATGTTTTCAGGTAAGAAATATTTACCAAAGTCATTTTTGTAACTAAGGTATCTTGACCCAAGCCGTTATATGACTCTGTCCAGACTTTACAGTTGTATGGGCTTGGACATACTTGGGACAGCCATATCATCTTTGAAACTGTCTCTAAATTTGGAAGGTCTCACTAAAGGTCACACAATATGGTGAAGGCAAGAACAGAAGCAGATTTTCTTTAAGCTTTGAATTTATTATTAGATTTGTAACTCAGACAAGTGGTTTTTTCCGCCTTGTGTAACCCTCCTGCCATTGGATGTGACGAATCCCATGGAGGTGATGACAAAGAAACCTAGAGAAATAGTTTAAGAACTGATCTTTTGCCTCCACGAGAGTTTTAAATTACCATCACAAGCAGATATTTGCCTCAGAGCTGATCACTCAATGAAAAGAAATGGACTTCTCTAGGATGTGGTTCGTTCTGTCCTGCCGCAAATTTGTAAAACAGACAAATGAATGAGACTCAAAACGGCCTGTCTCTCCACTAACCAGAGAAGCAATCTTAAATTAAGTGAGATCAATCTGACCCTAAAGTTAGACAAGATTAGTGCCACTTACGTGACCGACTGAAATAAAAAAATACGACAGAGTGAGTGTAGTCTGAGACAACAACCTTGGAAAAGGCACAGTCATCCAACAGTAAGTTCTCTGTGCTCTGAAGCCCTTTGTACAAGATATGAGCTGCCTTATAGTCAAGTTTTTAAACAAAACTCTCTACAATTTGTATGGTTAAGAGTATCTGGCAAGTTTTGTACAGGTCTGACATTTAATCTAGAAGATAAAGGTCAGGGGAAAGTACCAGGGGATAAGCATGGTGATGAAAGAGAAGACAAATGAGGACATTATAGCAGTAAATATATTAATCTTAAGAGTGACATGACGGCAGCCTGTGCATACTGTGCTCTTCTTTCTACTGGTCCTCCTGAAGCCTATGAGAAATCCTGCAGAAGTACCTGTGAGGTCAGGTTTGCAGCAGACCCTCAGCTCCCTGACCAGTGGAAAATTTTCACAGCAATGATGGATTGGCCACATCTAGTATCTAGATCACATCTGGCAAAGGTCAACAGGAAGAGATGCAAAACCCTGGTTAGTCCCACAAAGGATACTCAGCTGTGCCTCTGATATTCAAGATCAGGGTACATATGAGTTTTAAAGAGTACATATAAGCACAGCTTTCTGCAAAAAGTGCACCCAGGTGAGAAGGTGGGTGCTTCCCTGGCTGGATCCTCCATCTGATCATCTGGAGGACTAAATACAACACACTCAGGGCATAAACAGAAAGTTTTACCTGAAAGAAATCTTTGAGACGGGGTCAAGTTCCAACCCTAGGCACATTATCAGAGCTCCAAACTAACGAGCTTCATTCGGTTTCATTCTTTCTTCTGCACATGCATGTTATGCACGTGTCAGCACGGTTAAATTTGTCTAGATGCCATAGGGAAGAGACGATGGATTTCCAGCAAGTGATGGGTCCTCCCGCAGCTACCCCTCATACCTGACTTCACAGCCTTGCCTTTTGTCTTGCAGCACTGAGCGTTGCAACACCGTTTGACAGCATCTACCTTGGCTTGCACAATTACAACTGCGCACTCGCCTGCATTGCGATTGGGGGCATGTTCTATGCCCTGACCTGGCAAACGCATTTGCTGTCACTTGCCTGTGGTAGGTATCTTTTACGTACAAGGAAGACAAAAAATTTATGCAGCCAGGCAGTCTATGAGCAGTACAGGTTAAAGTCAACTACCTCCCCGCTGCAAAACTAGGTACTATGCAAGAGCTATTTCTGTGATGGCATCAGAGTCGAGCTTGGATGTGCAAGCTGCATGCGCAGAGAGAAGGGCCTTTAGGTCCCGATAACTCAAACACATCTAGAAACAGTGGAAGTACTGTTTGTGAAAGGAGCACAAGCTATCGGCACAAGCCATCAGCAGAAATTTAACAAATTAACAACTCCACAGATTCATAGAAGCAGCCTTTTCATAACTCTATACATCGTTAGAGGAAGTGTGTCACAAGAAGGCAGCTTTAAACTGCACAAGGCCAGTTTGAAATCCATCTACCCAAAGACCCCATTTCCAACAGCAGCCAAAACCAGGCACTATGGGAAGAGTTTAAGAAAATAAATTTCCTGTTTAAGAAATTCCTGCGAAGATTCACCCAGCCTCCAACCATTTGCATTTCAGTAGTTTTCTGCCCTGAGCAGTTTCTGGATGGCTCAGTAGCTTTCCCTTCCTTGACATGGCCCTTGGGTGCCTGGCCTTAGCTCCTGTTTTGCCAGCTCTGACATTCTGGGGCAAGAAGGCCCAGGGCTCACTGCTCGTGGTTTGAAGCCACAGGACAGAGATTTTCTGCAGCCCCCCCACCAGTGGAGAGTCTCTGCAATGCCCCACTGCATACAGGTCAAGTTGTGCCAATTAAAAAGAAATTAAAAAGAAAAGAAATACCATCATCACTTGCTCTTGACAAAACCATGTTCTTCTTTCACCACCCGTCTCTACGGAGCTGGTAGGACCAAACGTAGTCCATACAGCCAGACGCAGCTTTGGGGCATTTTAACTAATTGTTGAATTCTAATATTAATCCTCACACCAGGTAATTGGGAGGATACTTTTGTGTGTGTTTGGACAATATTACTATTTCTGATAATTTCTTTGGAGAGATGAACAATATTTTCCTCATCTTGAGCTGTCTTTGATCTTTTTTTCTCAGCGTTATTTTGTGCCTACTCTGGAGCAGGTCTTGCCAATGCCCTATCTGTCGTAAGTTTGGATATTTTTTTATGGGGCTTCTTGGTTTTTTGCTTTAACTGCGTTTCAATTTGTTATGATATAAAGTTAAGGAAATGATGCAAAATTCTCCATGTCAGTTTTGACAGCACTGAAATGAAAATGCTGCAGCCAATGGTAGGTCTTGTACAGAGTCTCTGGTGGTTGAATTGTGCACTTGCAGACTTTGCAGCTGATAATAAGATTATAAAGACCTTTGGTGCATGTTATCCACATAATTGTTCCTCTCTACGTGAATCCCAGCAACAGCATATGGTTTGAGATGCAACACTTAGTTTCAGGCAATATTTTTGAACGCGGTCTAAATTATTCGTCGCTTCTTCCAAGGTCTTTCTCCCATCCTACCCACAGATATTTTTTAAGTTTGACCTGGATATGACAACTAAAAAGGTGCCGAGCTGTTCTCTTAAACACAAAATCATTGTATCTGGACAGATCCAGAAAGAGGTGAACCCAGAAAGGCCAAGCTTTGTTTCTTCTTTAAGATCTAAGAGATTAAAGCAAAACCATATTTTAATAAAATTGATTTAGTAACTTAAAAGAAAAAAAAATTTAGATCTAGCAGCTTTATGCGTTGAACACATTCATCTGGCATCCACTCAGTACTGCGTAAGTCCATGCAGATGGGTTGCTTTGTTAGCAGACTTGGTTTTGGGATGCTTCAGGAAAAAAAGAACATTTACTTTTTCTCGTTGTGATCTTGCTTTTTCCAGACCCCAAGTCAGGGGTCACAGAGCAAGATCGAGGGTTGAATGCAATGCCAGTAACATGAGGGCACTGAAGATGATGAATGTGTGTGAACAGTACTCTTGTTACACGACATTTTGCAGGACAGTGAGGGCAGGACTAAGCTCATTTATCAGAGAATTCAAATGCCTAAGTGTAACGCCTGGGTGCCTTGGCTTTCATTACAGTCAGCAGAGCTCTGGAGCCTGATTCAGCCGCTTCACTATTGGTGCCAAGTGCCATTCAGCACCAACAGCTGTGTCTCCAAAAGGACCGAGGTCTCCAAAAGGTCTGAGGTCTCCAAAAGGTCTGAGGTCTCCAGAGCTCTGGAGATGTCTTACGTAGCCCCATGCATTTCAAATTAACTAGATACTTCTGTGTGAGCCTCTGGATTGACATTTGGTAGCAGAGGAGCTTCTCAGACCTCCAGCGACCAGCAAGAACCTAGCTCACATGCAGGCAGGTGCATCTGGGCATCCTCCTCTGGATCCAAATGGGGTATCCTGTGTGGGGCAGGTCAGGAAGGCATGTCCTGGGTCACACTGTCCTCAGGGAAAGCGCAGGCTCTCCCGGCTCCTCAAATACAAGAATTTAGCAACAGGCAGAAGTAAGCAAAGGGAACATGCGAAAAAAAATAAGAGGTACCAAAAGGCACTTGTCTGACTCTCCTTTCCCCTTCCAGCTTGGGCTGCCGCTCTGCACCTGGCCTTTTTGCTTCTCTGCACTTCTCTTTTTGCTGATAAATTCAGACAACCCAGCCATCTACAAAATCCCACTGTGCAAAGTCACCTACCCAGAAGCCAACAGGATCTACTACCTGAGAATGAAGAGAAGAGCATCGGAGAGCAGGAGAGAAGAGCAGAAACGAAAGGAGCAGAAACCCTCTGACCATTCCAAAATAAGCACCGGAGGCACCCCCCTGTGCACTCCCAAAAACCGCCACGCTTTCTGATTTCAAATGCCCACAAGCGTACAGCCTGGGGCCAGTTTTTCAGATGCTAGCCAAGCACACTACAGCCGTAAACACCACCTTCAGCAGTGATCTGCAGGCTGGGGATTCAGCACCCCGTGCTCCAGAGGAAACACATTTTGCCCTTGAGCTAAGCTTTCCAAAAAGCACTCAGGTATCATAATAACGGCTGCCTTATCTATCCACTTGCTGTTAACTTGAAAGTCACCTCTTATCAATAATAATTATAAGAACAGACAGAAGAACATTAAAGCTGACAAGAGGCTGTATTTAATTTCAGACATATAATTTAACAAAATAAATACACTGAGAAGGCATTGGTATCTAATAATAATAAATAATGTAAGAACTACATCAAGAGCTGCACTTCAAATTAAGAACACGTATATTTGAAAGTGGAATAAACAGACTGATCTCTTCCTTTCTTGTGTCCCATCAATGCCTAACACTCTTAATCCCTCCTAACAGCTACATACACAGGTAAATATTTTTACAGAGTGCATGCTATTTTTGGTGCCATCTCCTGACTCCTCGTTAAGTGCCAGGACAATGCAGGTATGAATATATATGCTTTAATCAGCTGGAGGAGTGACTAGCTAGCAATGATCAAACATTTTTCTTTTCCTTGCATAATTTTCTGTCTTACAAATAGATCT